TAGATTGTAACAATTACTTTGTTTGTGCAAATGTATTTGGCCTGTTAAGTGCTACTTAAAATCAACTAAAACATGCTTGTTTGGCTTCCTTTGAGTAAATATGGTAGAATAATTCTCCTGCAAAATCAAGTGTTTCTTGATTCTTCATGGAAATGTAATGTTTCTTTATTTATTTATATTTTCTGCCAGGTGGACCCAAAGGATTTGGATAGTAAATATGCATATATTCAGGTTACATATGTTACGGTGTACTTTGATGAGAAGGAGTTAAGAGATAGACAAACTGATTTTGAAAAGAATAATAATGTTAGGAGGTTTATGTTTGAGACTCCATTTACACGTGGAGGAAAGTCACATGGTTCAATAGAGGAACAGTTTAAAAGAAGAACCATTTTAACAGGTGAGTTGAGTTGATCATGTCATATTACAGGCTGACATTCTTTTGAAAGCCAAAAATCATCTGTGTTGCATTGCACCATTTTAATAGAAGCAGCGACTTCTAATACAGATTTTACAATACAGAAATGGTAAGTGGTGGCCACTAGACAAATGCACCAGACATGATTGGCCTCTCTACTCGATAACTCTACCACACTCTGCTAGGGGTACAGGTTAATCCCCACTTTGGTATCCAAACCCAGCTATGAATGTACCAGTTCTAGAGGCTGGAGGAGCAACTATGCTATTGGTGATCAGAACTGGAGCTTAGTTATTTCTACTAATCCCGGTTTGTGTGTTTTATTCTAGCTTCCCATGCATTCCCCTACGTCAAGAAACGTATCTTAGTCGTATACCAGATTCACCAGGAGTTAACGCCCATAGAGGTAGCTATAGATGAAATGAGAAAGAAAGTATGTGAAATGAATGAAATCCTGTCGTTAGATGCACCAGACATGAAACGGTTACAGCTGAAATTACAAGGTTCTGTGAGCACACAGGTGAATGCTGGACCATTAGCATATGCATCTGCCTTCCTGGAAGGAAACATATCGCAATATGATTCAATGAAAGTCAGGGAACTCAAAGAAATCTTCAGGTAAGTGGTGATGTACATATACATGTATGTATAGTATTATTGTTGCCAGAAATTATGTAAATCATCCTTATCATTTCATTCTTTGGCCAAGGTGCAATCTATACTTACCTATGTTGCCTCTGTGTCGGTGGACATTGTCTACACTTCCTTAGTTACCAGGGGTTAGCTGAAATTGCCTGCACTCCTTAGGTTAGCTGAAATTGTCTTTAATCCCAAGGTGTGTTGGAATTTCCTGCACTCCCCAGGTTAGCTGAAATTGCCTGCACTCTCCAGGTTAGCTGAAATTGTCTTTACTCCCTAGGTTAGTTGGAATTTCCTGCACTCCCTAGGTTAGTTGAAATTGCCAGCACTCTCTAGGTTAACTGACATTGCCTGCATTCTTGAGGTTAGCTGAAATTGTCTTTACTTTCTAGGTTAGTTGAATTTTGTCTTTACTCCCTTGGTTAGTTGAATTTTGTCTTTACTCCCTTGGTTAGTTGGAATTTTCTGCACTCCTTAGGATAGTTGAAATTGCCAGCACTCTCTCGGTTAGTTGAAATTGCCTGCATTTTCTAGGTTAGGCAAAATCCATCAGAAACCTGACATGGATAATTGTATATCTCACAATGTTTGAATTTGGAAACATGATCTAGGACAGTGCTGACATGCTATTTTCCATCAATTTCATTAAAATACATGTAGGAATTATTTTCAGACTACACAATACACTTCATTAACTATTGTCAACACTGTTAAAATGATACAATGTAAAGACAGTAATAAACATAGCCCATAATCCTGATATACTGTAAATTGCTTTAATTTCACAAGAGATAATTTTTTTTCTTAATTTCAAAAATCAGTGAAATCCTGAAATGTTTATGATGAAAATTTCTATGTTCTATATCTTCATCAATGCCATAAAATGCAAGCAGTGAAAATAAATGGTTTTACTCTATATATAGGACATAGTTATATAGACTGAAAATCTGTTTTTTGTTGTATATATATAGTATTTGATCTGACCTATCCTTAACAGTGGTTAAATTTTGAGGTAGCATTGTATAAGCATGGTTTCATTATATCTGTAGGCAATTTGTAAAAGCATGTGGTGAATTGCTGGAAATCAACGCCAAACTCATTAAATCAGACCAGTTACATTATCACGATGACATGAAACAGAAATACAAACAGATGGTGTTAAAGTTATCCGAGATTCTCAGCGAGGAGGTATGTATGATACAGCTATAGTAAGATTCCTGTAATTGCGCCAGTGATGGAATAGTGTAATTAAGCAAAGTGAAAACACATGGCAGAAATACTCACTACGACTGCAGCATTGTTCGCCTGAGGTTCTCTCATTTGTTATACAACTAAAAAATAAACAAGTCAATCCGATATATGCATGTGTTTTAATCTATTTCATGCTGGTAAAATTCCTGGAATTATCTTTATAACAAAAGCATGCCAGTCTTGCATGTAGCATGCTCGATGCCATTACTTGCCTGTTACTGCATGCTGCAAGCACATTGCACCCACGCTCACTCTCCACTCCAAAATGACTACTAGTATTTTGTAAACTCTGAAAAACATGATTGGAGGATAATTGTGCAAGTCCTTTATGCACCTCAAAAAATAAATATTTGTTTTTTTTTCCATGAAAAAAATTTTAGCCTCATGAACACTTCACCTATACAAGGATTCGCTAAACTGTTTTTATTTTATTGAAGTGCATGCTCTCTTATCATTGTCTTGGGTGTGCATGTATTGCACTTTTTTTTTAGACTACTTTCTATACCAAATACAATCACTTGATTCACAAATGAGATTTGTTTTTGATGACAAGTCTGTATTCTGCTATAAAACAAGACCTAGTGGGTGCGTGGGTGGGTGCGTGTGTTGCGTGGGTGGGTATGTGTGTTGAAATAGCTAATCATTAGCTTGACTAAAACATTTTTGAGAGCTCTTTTGCATTTGTTATGAGCGTTGCTTATTTTTGTCAATACAAATTATAATAACGACCATAAAAACATTATAACCCACTCGCTCATATGAAATGTTAAGTAACTGTGGCTATCAGTATGGTTTGTACTCAAAGCAAGTATTATCATCTGATTGGCTGATGATAACACTGTAACAAGGAGCTAGTAGATTACTGTCAGATTTGGAGGCAACATTGCTTATGACATAGCTGTATAGTCTGGTAATAATATTACTGGCTAGGTGTACAAATTAAATAATAACACATGATTGTGAGGGTAATATCACGATTTTTTGCCTGCCCAAAGGATGGTGGTCATAACCATAATATTGATGATGCCAGAGCCGAAGGCGAGGGCATCATCAATATTATGGTCATGACCAACAGCTCGAGGGCAGACAACAAATCGTGATATTGCCCAAATAACCATGTGTTATTTATTTTATCACATCGAACAGACATCCACCATGACAATCACAGCTACCATACATCACTCACACCCGCTCTCCCACAAAATAACAACATTTATATTTGAAGTATGCAATATTTTATTTTATCTATTATAACAAGTTTCACATTACTCTCACGAACGTACCACACCTATTCACAAGCCACACAACTTTGTTTAGAGCGTTTTCGGTTAGCATTGGTGTGGAACGCGTAGAAATGCTTATAGCGTAGAACGCGCTGCAGAGACCCTGGCTGCGACGTTTCAGTGGCGGCTTTACCGTTATTTTTGCTCCATATAAAAAATACCCTATACATCAAAACAGAGTATCTTACTTAATATCCATTCTGGCACGCTCACTGTCTATTTCGGATGGCTAAAGTTCCTTCAAAACACTGAAAGCAACCCAAAAAAAAACAGCGGCCAGAGCAGCACCAGTGCAGCGAACGACAATTTTGTTATGCGCAGTATCGTTGCGCAGTAGTTTCAGTGACGTCATCCATGTGATATACCCATGTAATATCCATTTTTATTCCATGTCATGTGACCGAGTCTCAACCAATCACAGCATGCGTAACAGCAGTGAGAAGTGATAAACATACTTACAGTCACAGTAAGAACATATTATTAAAGCGAGGGGTTGTCACCTGCGCGGGAATTGAGTCCCAAGCCATGATAACAACACACGCTAAGAACGCAAAGGTTCATGGATAGACGCTTGTTTGTAAACAATGACACACCATGGCCACCTGACTCCCCTGCTTTAAATTAAACCAGTATGGTCCTGTTTTTTTTCTCATTTACATATTATGCATATCATTACTCTGTATTCATTCATTGCTATCTAACTTTTCATTCACTGTGTGTTAGTTGATATCATAATCAATTTCTTTCCTCCAATCAGTTAATAATACCAAGATCTTACCACTTCTGAGGAATTTACTCAGGGGTGAGTTACATCAAACAAACATCTTCTTGTTCTTCCTAACTGTCATTAACAAGTCACAGAGGGCTGCTTACGAACATTATATGTGTGTGTTGCATTTCATGGTGGATTGTATATTATGTGTTTTTTTTTTTTGAAAGGTTATTGTCACCGTTCATGTCGCTTCTTTCATGTCGTTTGTTCCAGTATTCCCTTTATTTGTACTTGCATGGATTTTATCTTTATTGTATCACTGTTAAGGGACGACGTCAAAAGATTGATGTCGGATAAAAAACTTAATTCCTTTAGTTTTTTTCCAAACCCCCCTGCCCCCCACTGAAACTTAATTGATAAATATTGGTCATGGTGTCAGACTACATTCACCATTAAATACAAATTGATAATCG